TCTCTCTCTCTCTCTCTCTCTCTCTCTCTCTCTCTCTCTCTCTCTCTCTCTCTCTGTGTGTGTGTGTGTGTGTGTGTGTGTGTGTGTGTGTTTATGTGTGGCTTGCTGTGCGTCGCCCCCACAAATATAGATCTTGGTCTAGTTGATTAAACTTGATTTGGCTCTATGAGTCTATGATACATGTCTGTGTTGCTCTCGTGCGTCCTTTCGACGAATCTGTCGTATTTTTGTGTTCCTGTCGACATTGCTCATTTCCTCTCTCCTCCCCCACCACTCAGTGAAATGCTCGTCATGTACTATGCACTTTATTTAAAGGACATCCTTCCTCTCTCTCTCTCTCTCTCTCTCTCTCTCTCTCTCTCTCTCTCTCTCTCTCTCTCTCTCTCTCTCTCTCTCCCTTACACCCCCCCCTCCCAAGTGTCTTCTGACGGAATCTGACCCATAGCTTCCTTCTCCTTCTAGGTTACTCTCTTCGAATCTGGGTTTGGGTTGATCGGGGCTTACGGGAAAGCTACCAGTCTGGGCCTCTCTCTCTCTCTCTCTCTCTCTCTCTCTCTCTCTCTCTCTCTCTCTCTCTCTCTCTCCTCTAAGATGAGGAGTAGTCTCAACTTAAAAAAAACATGTGCAAGAGGGTGTGAATACACACAAAAGCATCAAACAACAAGATGAACCATGTAGAGAAGAGTCCGAAGACTAAAAAGAGAAAAATTTAAGACAGAAAGATCGACATTTGGAAACCCAGAGTGCAATGGGGCTTGCAAATATTGTAGACCTTATCAGACACGCCCCAGAGGTCAAGAAGCAGGCCTCGATGAAGGCCATAATTTAGACAACACTCATGCTGGCAAAGGAGTTGAAAGAACCCAACTGTCCCAACACGTCTTCCGTCCAGCTCGTGCGCCGTGAGTACTGCCCGGCACTCTCACTAGAACCTTTTTCCACTTCTCTCTGGACGTAATTGCGATCAGGTGCATCCAGGCCAGGTCGGAAAAGCGATCATATACATCCAGGAAAGTCCTAGTGTGTGCGTTTGCCTTCAGGGCTTGGCGCAGGCCGTCATAAAGCGTAGATCCCCCCCGGGGGGGGGGGGGAAGGGAGAGGGGCGGGGGAGGGTGTTCAATCCCCTGAGTTCCCCTCTTCCCCCGAATACAACGCGCCCTCATCATCATCAGCGTGCGCTGTGTTCGGGGGAAGAAGTGTTCTAAAGTCTAAGGCTCGAAACCTTAAAAGCCCAAAAAAAAAGAACTTATTGTCGGCGTTGTCGCTTTTTTGGCCCCCGCTTTAATGTTTATTTCTTTTTGGTCATCTCATCTACTTTTCTTTTTTTTTCCTTTTTTTTTCACCAACCAGCACTACCGTTAGTATCCGTTAGTCTCCGTTAGAGTCACTCCCTTCGTCTATAATAGAGGCGATGGCAAGCAAGGGCGGTTTCACACTCCCCAAGGGACCCCAACCGTCTCTTGGGCCCAGAGTCTCAGAGAGAACCGAGGTAATCATGGAAATGGGCAGTTTCAGACGCACAAACTGAGCGAGAAATGGCTGAGTGTTTTATTTTTAGACTTCAGATAAAGTAGCTGAGCTTCGGTGAACTCCTCTCTTTTTTATTTTTGTTTTGCATTTTTCCTCTCTCCGTTCTCTGTTCCACAACGCCTTGTCTCGCTGAAAGCCCGGCTGCCTCGATCTCGATGACTTTCGCACTCTCGAGGGGGAAAAAATAAAATAAAAAAGAAATAAAGGAACAATTCGTCTGCTGGACTCAGCTCTGCACGCCGCTGCTCGGGCTGAGCACGCAGCATCGTCAAGGCGCACGCCGATTGTTATTGAAAACAAAAAAAAAAAAAAGCGGCCCTTCTGCATTCGAAGAGTACAAAAGGCCCAATGCACAGTTCCACAGCAGTAGAAAAGGCCCAATTTTCCGTACGAGACAGACTACGCGTCTCACTCTTTTGACCTCCCTGCATGTCTGTCTCTGTGTGTGTGTGTGTGTTTATGTGTGTCTCACAGCGAGATAGATAGATAGATAGATAGATAGATAGATAGATAGATAGATAAATAGAGAGAGAGAGAGAGAGAGAGAG